AACTGAATATAAAATCCATTGAAAGATTCTCAAGTAGTTGTTCTGCGGAGCGCGAAGCAATCAAATATTCGGAAAATTCAGCAAAACCGGAAGTAGATTATGAGCCCAGTCGGGTCGAAATCGTTTTTGGCGTATTTCTACCAAAGAAAGCTGTATTAGCAGAAACTAGCTATGGTCCGTTTCTATTCTTACTAGGACGTATCTATGGACAAAATACAAGCAAAATCAATTTTTCGACTTGTGCCATTGATAGGTGATTTAGGTCCATTTTTATAGGCATTCACTCTTACTATTCTTTATATATGAAGCAAACCTTCCTGATCTGTCAGTATCTAATACTGAAGAAATCCAGAATTTCTGTAAGCAGAAATTATGTGCATGATCCTATCAACCTGGTTCAGATAGCTTTCTGCCAGCAGAGCCTAAATCAGTGCAGGGTGTGCAGTTCCTATGTTTTCCTATTTTTTGAGCAGATTCCTATTTTCTCCTATTTTTTAAATGAAACCTCTTGTTTTTGCTTGTAAAGCAGCATGTGTTACAAGATTAAAAATGGATTTAAGCTCAGGTGTTTCAGATGTAGATTTAGCATAAAGCAATTGAGGTCATGACTTTGATGTTCTAAATCAACAAAAATGTTAGTGAGAGTAATAATAAATTCTTTGTTCTCTGCTGCTTATTAGATTTCTCTTGATAACTTTCTCTTCATAGCAATTTCCTGTTGAACCACATTTTTCAATGATTTTCTACTGCATCTATTGTATCTACTAGTTAAATAAATGTAGTTCAGGTGACTATGTTGAAGTCAATAGATAATATTCTGCATCAACCCATTGAAAATACACAAGGTATACATGTCCTTACGCTGAATAAATAAATAAATATATAAATAAATAAATAAATAAATATATTTATGCATGTTCAGCTACTGGAAAAAGCACTACCAAATTAAATGGTATTTCTAATTCTCCTTCAAAGTAAAAAAGAGCCAAATTAAGGGTGAACTGTCGTTGTTAAGCCATATTAATGGCGAACTGTTGTCTTAAAGTAAGATAATTATGGGTGAACTGTTATTTAAAGTCAAACTAAAGGTGAACTGTCATTTTATGTGAAGCTAAGGGTAAACTGTTGTTTTTAACCTTCACCAAGGATTTGTTGTATTTACTATTATCTGCTGGTTTGATGTTAAAGTTTTGAAAAGCCAGCGTAGTTTCTGAACAAGGTGAAACTGGAGTAGTTCAGTCATTAAATATAGGTTATTGACCAAGTGTGAGGTCAAGATGGCTGGATANGATAGCTCCATCTTGCCCGCTCGGGTAGCCAATCACGGTGCGGGATTTGTTTCATCTTGCCGGCTCGCGGAGCTAGCCATATAATAAGTACTGTTAAAACCAGGGAATCTGAATTTATCAATGCATTGTAGAGTCACTAGTCTTGTTTCTAAGAAAACATTTAAATGTCAATTTGACAATTGATAACTGATTGCCTTTCAATTATTATTTTTATTTATAATCTATTGTTAAACAAACTGATGTTGTTATCACAATGAGAGCTAAGGAGAATAACTTTTTTAAAAAAATGCTTGCATTGTCTTACAGGTGTACATGAATGTACATTTGTATCACTATTAATGGACTCAGACTCTGTGAGAGTTTTTAGATCACAAATTGTTAAGTCACTTTTAGTTGATTAATCTATGAATTTTAATTTTCTATTTATTTATTCTCTTATTTATTATTATTATTATTATTTTGTTTTTAATGTATCCTTGCCAATATTTATGTGCTCATTCGTATAGTTCTAAGTAGTTTTATAAGTAAGTTAGTTATAAGTAAGTTATAAGTAGTAATGTACATGTAACTGAAAAACGCTTGTTAGGGAGTTGCAATAAAATATGTATGTGTGTATGCATGTATGTGTGCGTGTCTGTATGCGTGTATGCATGTATGTATTGAAAAAGCTGATGGGTTTTACGGAGACTACATGTATCTTTGTCCATCAAAGTAGCATTGATTTTCCTTTTTTTTTTTTGAAAGAAAGTTCCTATTTTTCCTATTTTTTCAATCATGTGTTTCCTATTTTTCTGAACAACCATGCTGCTGAACACCCTGTCAGTTTCAAAATTGAACTTATGCTATTGATTTATTTTAATTGACTGATTGAGAGTGCTTAATTGATTGATTGAATTGTTTATATTTTTTGGTCATTTTCATTGATAACAAATTTAGTATTGTCTGGGATTATATGCATGGTTGTAATATAGCACATTTATTAATGACCGGTGCATTACAGTACAAGCTCTGCTGTGACCTACAACTGTAACAATAACCATAAGCAAATTATTACCTTACTATAACCACACACAATGAAAATAGTGCACCTGATCACGAAAAGACATCATCAATTGCCAGAAGATACCAAATGATATATTAAATTATAATATTATTATGCTGGTCTCACTTGTAATGATAATAATAATAATAATAACAACAACAACAACGTTAACAACAAAGCTAAAATGAGAAAATTGGGCAATCCTATCTCTAATAACAAGTAGCCCTAACAGCAACAGTACTTACAAGGGCCAGAAGATTTATTGTTCCAAAGGGAAGGTAAGATCAAGTTAAAATGAATGAATATATAACCACGAATTATAAGAATTCCATAATCTGTAGGTACCCAAAGGAGATCGTCAATGGAATTTGCAGGATATTACCTTGACAGTAGTTTGAACTAGATTATCCAGAGCCTCTTCTATAGACTTGACAAAGGCCAAATTCTGCCTGGAAAAGAAGCATTACTGAGTATCATAATGAACATCAACCACACATATCAATAAACATGAGTGATAAGTAAATGTGAGCTTCCCCTATCTAATAGGCTCCATTTTCTCTGGTCTATATATCCAGTGGAAGGGCACAAACTCCTTTCCCAAACAGTGAATGGCAATTGAGCCTACCTATCCAAATGAAATTACAAACCATGCATAATTCTTCCACATAACAATGTGGAAGTATGTGTTAATGTGGAAGTATGTTAAGAACTGATTCTGGTGCATTGAGACATCGGGTGTCTAAAAAAACTAAAACCTAAGATCTAAGACCTAATATCCAACACCCAAGACCCCCTCTGAATCTCAGAAACTGAGACCTAATTAAGACCCCCTCTGAATCTTAAGAGTGCCTGCCTGTAAAAATCAGACAAATTCTTAATTTTGCGGCAAGGGTCGAAAATTTGATTTCGCTTATATTCCTATGGTAGATCGGCTTGGGCATGACAAAAACTACTGGGTAGTTTTTTTGGCAAAATATCTTTTCATTTCAAAGAAATATGCAAATTACCAAATTCCATTAAAATCGTCATTTGACACACCATTTTATTAAACAAGTTTGAGAGCCTTGCATGCAAAACGACATCATTCTTCCGTCTTTAAAACACTCAAATATTTTTGTGCAATGTTTAAATGTGTACTGGGTTGATTTTAGGGAACGCTGCGTTCTCTTTTTGGGTGCAAAATAATTAAATTTCAAAGACATGTATTTCATTCACTTAAAAGTACTTCGTAAAAATAATTGATTTTCACCATGTGCCAAAC